TATTTCTCAAAATTGTAGTTTTAAAGAAAAATCTCCAAGTTATATTTTCTATAGGTAGGATTTAGTGCAAACATTTTAAAGCAATATTGTTAAAAGTTTTAAAATACCAAAGTGCCCTGTTCAGGGAGCTAAATAATTTGATGAGGGAATTTCTACTTGAAAAAGCTTCCCGCATCAGTGTCAGATATAAATTCAATTGTCTGCAAGCTGTGTCAGAACAGATTTCTTGTCATATTTGGCCTCAGAGTAGAGATTTATTGAAAATGCTTGATGATATTGCTCTCCGAGCTAATTTACATAAACATAGCAGCAGAGTGAATGCTTTTGAATTGTAGTGTTTGTGTGTGTGTGTTTCTGGCTCTCAAAATCAAGGGAAAACTACCAAAAGCTACTTCAACATATAGTGTTTCATCCAAATAATTTTTAAATGATGATTTTTGCAACAACTATGTTGTAAGTGGGGAGCTCTGGTGGCATAGTGCCTAAGGCATTTGACTGCTAACCAGATGGCTGGCAGTTCAAACCTACCAGCCACTCCCTGGAAGGAAGGTTGGGCAATCTACTTCCATAGTGATACTGCTTCAAAAACCCAAGGAGGGGTCGCTACGAGTAGGATCTGACTCCACGGCCATGCTTGTGTTGTGTTGTGTGTGTGTGTGTGTGTGTGTGTTATATGTATATGTAGACTCCTGTGCCTTTTCAGAAATGAATCATGGATCAAAATACGCCAAAACCAAAGCTTTGGCAATCTATTATATTTCATGTCAGGAAATAAAACAATGAGTGATTTTGAGATTGCAGACTGTCTTAGTTATCTAATACTGCTATAACAAAAGTACCACAAGTGGATGGTTTTAACAAACAGAAATCTAGTCTCCCACAGTTTAGGAGGTCCAAAATCCAAAATCAGGGTGCCAGTTCTAGGGAAATCTTCCTATCTCTGCTGGCTCTGGAAGGTCCTTGTCTCCTTTTAATATCTATAGGCCCAGCATCCTTTAGAGATTGCCATGTGCCTTGGCATCAGTCTCCCCCTGGATCTAGGAGGTTCTCAGCACAGGGACCCTGGGTCCAAAAGACATACTCAGCTCCTGGTTCTTATTCAGGTCACTCCTTCTCTCTTTCATATCTTGTGAGATAAAAGGTGATGCAGGCCACATCCCAGGGAATTTCTTCTTACATAGAATCAAGGCTGTGACCTGAGTAAGGGTATTACATCCTACCCTAATCCTCTTGCAACTAACTGTCTGATCACATCAGATCACATCGTGGACAATGATTAAATCATTATGTAACTACCAAATTACAGCATTACATGACTGTCAAAATAATAGGAATCATTGCCCAGCCAAGTTGACACATATTTTGGGGAGACACAAATCAATGCATGACACAGATACATACAACAGAGTCATTATTTTTAAAAGAACTTTTATTTTTTGCCAACTCTTTGGGCCTAGCTCAGTAACCAAAATGAATGCTGTTGTTGTTGTTGTTGTTGTTATGTGCCGTCGAGTCAGACCCGATTCATAGTGACCCCTCTTTGGGTTTCTGAGGCAGTATCACTATGGAAGTAGATTGCCCCATCTTCTTTCTGAGGAGTGGCTGGTGGGTTTGAACCACCAGGCTTCTGGTTAGCAGTCAAGTGCCTAAGCTGTTAGAAAGTAAAATTTCTTTCTTCAGTAATGAAGGACTTGGAACTAGAATGTGAATTTAGTCTCCAGGGTTTTCAGATCTCTAATTCATAGATTCAGTGGCCTGCCAAATTATTTCATGTCTTTCCATCCAAATTTATTCAGCTCTATACAAGAAGATATTATGAGACTCTTTTTATAAAGATATTATGAATTGTTTTGCTTGTTGTCAGTTGCCTTCAATTTGATTCCAACTAATGTTGACCTGGGATGGGAAGAGTAGAACTGCTCCATCAGGTTTTAAGGCTGTGGCCTTTTGGAAGCAGATTGCCAGGCCTGTCTTCTGAGGCAAAGTTAAGTTTAAGTAACAGTATTGATAAAGAAATGTGCACAATGTGTTAGGGGGATGTCTCTTATGATGATTTTTGGCATATTTATCAGTAAAAATAGTCACAACAGGGAAGGCCTTACACTTCGACACCCAACCATAATGATTATTGCCATGATCCATTTTAATCAGCAAGATGGCCAAAATAAATCAACTACCTCAGAATCTGGCAATTTGTTTAAATGCAGACATTCTATTCTTGTATGGCTCTTATTTACAAATGCATTCAAGTGTTTATTATTGTTAATATTTTTATAGCTGTAGTAACTGTATACTTGCGGTGACTAAGTAATACATCAAGCCATTTTAAAAAGTTTCCCATGGGATAAAATGATAGATTGCTAAAAATCACTTCTAGAAATTCTTGTTTATTAACTCACTTGAAAAATATAAAGGATCTGTCTCTAGCACTGTATGGTAAAAGACACAAAAGCAAAAATGACATAACCCCTTTCCTTAAGGAACTTACAGTCTGCCTTGTTAGTATATGGATTGACTCTCTGATCCTTTAAAAAAAAAAAAAAACCTCTGTCCTTTTTCTAGAGTCTGTTCATACATTTGTATATCCATATGTATATTCTTTATAAAATATTTTTTATTAAGACATTGTACTATATATTCTCTAGTATGTTCTCCAAAATAATTTTCAAAAGCTATGTATCCCCTCGCATATTTTCAATTTGACATGTAAAATATATTGTTACAAATTAAAAGCTATAAAAGGTATAATTTTATGACATACCACTTTTAAAATAAATCCAAAAACATACAAATACCACAGCAATTTGGCATCTACTATCATCCATTGCAAAGAACATGAGGGAGCTCTGTTTGAAAAGAGAAAAGTTGACATCACTCATTTTTGTCTTTGAAGTAGTACTTCCAGTTCACTTTCCCCACAGCATCATATACCAATGTAACATATTTTGTGATTGAGTCTTTAATTGATTGTCTATAGTCCTTTTCATAACATAATTTTTTATAAATCGAAATTTTATTTTATTTTTTTGTTTCTTGCAACCATAGTTTTTAACTGATACATATGTTTTCTTCTGGATTTGGTTAACATTATAATTACTATTTCTGCACAGTTGTACATAAAATAAGCTTTGGGGGGATTCAGTTGCTTAATGGAGCTTTAGTTCAATGATTTCATATATCCAAGGATGAATGCTACTCATTGCACAAGTTCCATCCTAATGTTTCTTTTTTTGATATAAACACAGAGAAGCCTTGTTTCCATGTGTATGAGTGGATCTTACAGCAATGAAATACTCATTGAGATCACTCAATTCTTTAAACCCCTTCCAAGTTACATGCCTAAATCACATTGTGAAAACTCATTCAAAGTTATTTTTAATAACCTTTCAACTAACAACTAGATAAGGTTCTCCTTCAATGATGCTGTAAGAAAAAAATTGAAAACGTCCTGATTTTCAAAAGCATTTGTTACTCATTCATTAGAGTTACTTTCTCATTTTATAGGAAGTACCTCAATAAAAAGCTTTTTCAAGACTTATCAAATATTTATAAAGTATTCCTGATTTTCACTTAGAAGCACCCGTGTAATCCAAAATATTAAGACAAGATTGGAAAAATGGAAATGTTACATAATGTTCGGGTGAAATGATTAATTGCATTAAATGATTTCTAATTTTTTATTCCATTTATGGAAAACACCTGCCATTTAACCTACTTCGCTGTTCTCATTGTCAAACCAATCAGTCAAAATTTTCTTTCTGGAAAAGCCTGACTTAATTTTCCAAATCAAATAAAAATGTTCACAGGCATTGCAAAAAATATTATATATATACACTGTGAAATGAAATGCAGTTTTAAAACCTAATTTACTAGAAGCAATTATTGTATATTTAATATAATTAATTTATCTGTATTTTTAGGTTAGAAAAAATAACAAGTCTGTGTTTTTCTCATTATTTAATTTGTAATAATGCAATGTAATTTGTGTCTATAATTAGATAATTATTAAATGAGGACTATGATAAAAGAAGAAAGCTTTACACTATATTTATGAGTATGCATGTTGAACTCTAGTGGTTGGCTTTCGGGTATAATTAAATAAAAATAATGCATATAATAGAAATAACTTCATTAATTTCAGAGATTTAATGGCCAAATTTTTGCTATGTATCCAATGAGAGAACATATGCCCAAAATGTTCATTCCAGTAGCTGGCTTGAATTCTAGTTTTTATTAAGACGTAGGAGATAATCTACAAAATGATATAAGAGGAAGATTGGCTATAAATGGAATAAATATTTCATCATATGGCTTATTTAATTAGGTATTAAATAATGAAATTGAATAATACACACTAAGCCTGAAAGATATCCTGCAAAAATTTTTATCTGATTTTCATCCAGTGTCACTGAAAAATTTTGGTATCCTGGAAAACAGTTATACATACAATCATCAGCCTCACTCACCTACATTGCTTTCAAGTTTGCTTGTATTTCTTTCTATTTAGAGATGAATCTTAAATATGAGAACAGAGAATGAGCTTGCTTTTCTCTCCCCAGACAATCTTTCAACAGCAATGCATTCTTTCACAGAGTTAAAGGGGAATCCCCAAACACATATTCAGCCCCCTCCGTAGAGACTATTTGATTTTTCAAAAAACCAATATTTTTAATGCTATGGTTCATCTTTAAGAGGGAAAAATAAGACAAACCAATGACAAACACAGTAAGACTTCAGGTGGCTTTATGACAGCTTGATTAACCATTCTTTTGTTTGAAACCCAGAAGGTTTTTAAAACCCAGGGGAATGTTCCATATTACCTGAGGGGTGAGATTTCTTTTACAGATTAGGAAAGGAACATTGTAGAAAGAGAGGTAAAAGAACCTACATGATGATATGAAAAGTATGCATGAACTTGAAGATCTAAACCTTTAGCCATTTCTACTGTTTGTTAGTTGAACATGTAAGATTCAAAATAAAAAATCATCTTTGTTTTGCAGCTGTTGTGAGCGCCATACCTGTGCCAACTCTAGAAAGTGCCCAGTACCCAGGAATCCTTCCATCTCCCACGTGTGGATACCCTCACCCACAGTTCACCCTCCGGCCTGTGCCATTCCCAACACTGTCTGTGGACCGAGGTTTCGGAGCAGGAAGAAATCAGTGTAATGCATTTTCTTTTATTTGAGATAAGAACAAATGAGTAATAGCAAGAATATCCTATCAACTGTGTACACCTACAAAAAGTTTAATTGGCAAAACAAGAAAAAAAAATTTCACATCAAACAGGTAGCATTTTGACCTTCTTATCCTTGTTGTTAGGTGCTGTCAAATCGGTTTTGACTCATATTGTTATTGTTGTTGTTGTATATATCACTAGGAAAGATGAATTATGACCTGGATATTTTAATTTTCTTTTCTAATCTAGCCAGCCCTTTGTATACTCACTAATTCCCTAGGCGTCTTCTTCCACAGTTTACTCCATTGACAATAGGAGAGTGGAAGGGAAACAAAGGTCAAGTCGAAAAGTAAAACAGTGATGTGACTGGTGCTTGAAAATAATACATCCTGTTACCTAGGAAGTTGATAATCAAGGGACTATCCTCCAATATATTCTTATTTAAGTTGTATCGGTTATATTTAAATATGCCTCATTGATTCCTGACTTACCAATACTTCAATGTAGGCTTTCATTTTCTCTAGTTAAATCAGTTAACTTTTATCTTTAAGAATTAATTATTTGAACAAAAGTTTTCTGAATGCTATTTCATTTGTTTGAAGCAAGGTAGGAATAAAGACTCTCAAGCTATTATATAAACCCCGGTGCTTCTTCTGTGCCATTTGACATTTTTTTTTCTTCAAGCACAGCATTTTTAAATTGATTTTATGGCTTTCATCTCTTAGTTAAGAACAGGTGACTCAGCAGCTCATGTGAGATAGGATGTTTTGTAATAGATAAGATGGTAACAGCAATAAAATATATTTGTGAGGTAAGCCATATTTTTTCCAACCCAACAGGGACAGCTCTAAGGAATCATAAATTGTCTAGATGTAGCAAGGTTAGAATTAAAAGGCATCAAAAATCTGCCAGGGGAGAATTAGATTTATTTTCCATTTCCTTACTGCATGTCATGTCTACAGAATAGAGTTGTGAGCAAAAATCTCAAGGAAAAATAGTCCCCCAAACCATATTCAAGGGAATCAAATGAAAAAGAAGTGGAAAGTTTGACAAGCAAATAATATCAAGTCCCAAGACTTCTAGGAAGGCGATTTGAGTCAAATATTTTCAAACTCTTCGCTTCTGAAATGTCCTCTCCACAGCATAAAAGAGAATTTTTAATTTTAATGGAGTGTGTCTCCTCATTGGATCACTGCCTACTACTTTCATATGATATTGTCTCTATTCCCTTTAAAAGAAAGTATAAAAGAATCTGTAGAATTACGTTGATCTGGTCATTTCATCACGATTAATAAAGCTTTAGATTGTTATCGACAAGGCAACATTCACTATATTTTTCATTAGGAACTAGCTTTTTTCTTTTCCCTCTGTCGTGTGTTCCTACCATTTTTTTTTTTTCATTTTTTGAAGTCGTATTTCATTTTGGAAAATTTATTTATTTAGGTCCAGCATCTCATATACTCTTTTGTCCCTTTACTCTCTTGAGTTGGTGTAACATTCAAAGCTGTCTTCCATTGAATTATGGGAAAAAGGATTCCCAAAGTTAAAATTCAATTTTTAAAAAATGACAAAGAAATGGACTAGTATAAAATTAGCTCTTATCAGTAGTTAAAAATGTTTAGTTCCCTAGTACCAGTCTCAGAGGACAACTAGGTCAACTGGCATAACATAGTCTACAAAGACAATGTTCTACATCCTGCTTTGGTGAGTAATGGCTGGGGTCTAATAAGCTTGCTAATGGCTATCTAAGATACAACTATTGGTGTCATCCACTGTTGCTCCAATACCCACCGTTGTTCCTCATCCAGAGCAAAGAAGGGTAAAGAAAATAAAAGACTCAAAGAAACAATTAGTCTAAAGGACTAATAAACCAAAACTAACCAAACTCACTGCCGTTGAGTTGGATCCGACTCACAGAGATCCCTCCTTGGGTCTCCGAGGTGGTATCACTATAAAAGTAGACTGTCCAACCTTCCTTCTGAGGAGTGGCTGGTGGATTTGAACCCTTAGCCTTCTGCTTAATAGTCAAATGTCTTAAGCACCATGCCACCTGAGCTCCCAAAGGACAATTAAACCACAAAAAATCACAGCCTCAGCTACCCTGAGACCAGAAAAACTAAATGATGCCTGGCTACCACTACTATGCTATGCTATGATCAGAATCACAATAGAAAGTCCTGGACAAAGAGGATGAAACACACACACACACACACACACACATAACAAAATTCAAAAGCATAAAAAATAGCAGACTGGTATTGGTCTGAAGAGACTAGTGGAACCTCTAGACTATGGCCCTTTGACACACTTCACACCTAAAACTGAACACACACCCAAGGATCAACTTTCAGCCAAGCAACAGACAGGCCAATAAAGTGAATAATAACACCAGGGAAGAATGTACTTCTTGATGCAATCAATCAGGTAAGACCAAAATGGCAGCATTTGCCCAAAACAAAGCTCAGGAGGCAGGAAGGGGCAGGAAAGAAGGGTGAATAGAACAGGGAACTCCGGAAAGAAGTGGAAAGAGTGCTGTTACATTGAATGTGTTGCAACAAATGTCACAAAATGAAATATCTATAAATTGTTGAATGAAAATTAGTGTGTCCTGTAAACTTTCATCCAAACTACAAAAAATTATAATAATAAATAAATAATTTAGGTCCTTTAATATTTTTTTGTTTTGTTAATTTCTTTAAAAGTAAGAATTATTAACTAAAGCTACTAACAGCTTTTTAAAGATTCCTAACATACTGCTTTTTAATTTTTGAGCCTCATCTAAAATCACAAGGTAATAGACCTTCTATTCCTGTCCAAGATTTTATAGATGAATTTTTAAAAATGCAATCAATCATTTATCAAGTATTTTTAAGCAAAATTATATTCAAAACAAAAAGAATAGAAACTAATTAATATTTCCAAGTGAATTCTGAGAAAAGTAAAAACCAATCACCCTCTTTTCTAGGAAGCTAAATAGTCTGTAAATCACTGCCAGAAACAGTTAACCTCCAGCGCATTCACTGTTTCTAAATGCCTTGGAGAACACTAAACATCTCTGTTCTTTCTCAAGCAGAAAACATTTCATGACTCTGGGTGGACATGTCTTATTAGTCACCTTCAGAAACAGAGAAAGATGCACGTAGAAAAAGACAAGTTTGACTTTGCCAAGTGCGGAGACTCCTTCTTCCAATGTTACATGAAAGACTCTGAGTTTTCCAGGAGATGAATCACTAAAGCCCTGCCCCAAGGGTCCGCCGCTCCCTTATATCATGAGTAAAGCGGAGTTACTCTCCTCGCCAGAGGGAAAGGAAAACACGGCGATATGCACTGCATGCGTTTGCTGAAACAATGACAAAGATTTATATAGTTCTGATGGACAAATGTTTGTTCTTACTACTAAGAAGCTACTGTTCTGCTCTTAGCCTCAATAGGCCAATGGCTTCTCCCTGTGGAATGGCAAAGAGTGTTATATTTTTTAAATGTCAAAAAATAGGTAGCCTTGAGGCCTCATTTCAACAAATCACTATAAATTGGTATCCCCATTTTCACATATTTCAAAAGCATAGGTGGTAGAGAAGAAGGCTAACTGATCCACCATTCCTTTCAGTTCTGACTTTTTGGCTTCATCAGTGCGCAGGGTAGCCAACTCTATGCATGTGATCTTTCTGCCCCAGCTTTCCCCCCAGTTGGAAATCAACTAACAAATGGCACTTGACTTTTATGAAATCAAGAGCACATAGAGACTTTTCTCTATGGTCTTTTCAAACATCCAGGCTTGGACGCTATGAGGTTCCCCAGGAATACAGCATGAAGCTGCTCTCTGAGATTAATGAGTGAATTGGGTTGCTGAGGGTGTTCATGTCTTTAAGTGTCTGCTTAGACTTATTGGTGTGCTATATTTCTTCCAAATATTGCAATTTTAGACAGAAAAATCCTCATTTCCATTTTTGCAATATTTTTGCCAGTTATTCTGTAGCAATTATTTATGTATGTTGACATTAATTATTATAAAGTGCCTTGAGATTTGACTCTGCTGTGTAATTGTATGCTTTCTGTACAATGAATTCCGACTATTCTATCCTTTGAAAACAGGTGCCTTGCCAGCACATATTTGATTTTCATTCTATCCTCTGAATTGCGGGGAGGTTGCACTTTGTGGGGAAAAGGAGGTTTTCTTTGCTTTCAGAGCTCTCATCACAGCTAAATGTCATGTCACTGAGCCAATTTGTTTCATGTAGGTGTTCTGAAGCTCGTGCCTGCACTGGCCAAATGGGCTCATCTGAAATAAGAGCATTTCTTTGGTGAAGCAGTTGCTTTTGTGTTTGTTTAAGTGTTTTCACTGCCTTAAATGTCAGCCAGTTCTGAAAAGCATTTATTTTGCTCTACTGAAAATATAAGAATGGTGAATTGTCTATGGAAACCCTAGACCGTATTCATTGTGGTAGATATTAAGCAAAATGGTCATTTGAACAAAACAAAAGTAATCTATCATGGATTGGTGATCCACTCAGTCCCAAGGACGGGTTTCCCTCACAGAGCACATTTAGGCACTTATCTTTCCATGTGTATGGTCTCAGGCATGGAATCCCCTGAAGAGGGTGCCCATCTGTATCTAACCACCATACTAGTAGCCATCAAGTGGATTCTGACTCATGGCAACCTCATGCATTTCATAGTAGAACTTTCTTCCATATAGTTTTCAATGGCTATGACCTTTCAGAAGGAGGTTGCTAGGCCTCTCTTTCAAAGAGCCTTTGGATGGATTCAAACCACCAAGCTTTTGGTTACTAGCCAAGCCTTTAACTGTTTGTACCACCCTGGGACTCTGTAGCAAACCACCATAACTTTCTTTAAAGACTAGTACCACATCATTGGGTTTCTAGTGGAAATAACAGAAACCAGCTAAAATCCTGGGGATAAAAGATTAGGAATACAGAGAAGTTTTTGTTTTTTTTTTTTTTTTAAAGATGCTGATGAAGAGGAATTTTATTAAGATAAGCAGAGATGGGAGTGGCCAGAAAAACTCAGTGGTATTATCAGAATTCACAAGAAGTCAAAAGTTTTTGTCAAAATAAGAAGCTAAATTTCAGAGGATTTAAAAAAAAGTCCATGTAAATTTTATTAAACCAGTCTTAAAACTTGTTATTGTTGTTGTTGTTGTTGTTATGTGCCTTCGAGTCAGACCTGACTCATAATGACCCCTCCTTGGGTTTCTAAGGCAGTATCACTACGGAAGTAGATTGTCCAACCTTCCTTCCAAGGAGTGACTGGTGGGTTTGAACCGCCAGCCTTCTGGTTAGCAGTCAACTGCCTTAGTCACTATGCTACCAGTTCTCCCTTCTTATAACTTAGATTGCTTTAATTTTGTAAATATAAATGAATTTTAAAAATTAAGAAAGGAAGGAAGGAAGGAAGGTATAAAGAGTGTAGGAAGAAATCCCTAAGCAATTTATTACTTAATGGTTTAAATTGTCTTTAAAATATGATGTAAATTAATTGTGATCTGTCTTAAATAGACAGAATTACTTAAGGCAGATTTTGACATTTCTCTCCCTCCAAAACAACTCACTGCTGTGGTGTCAGATCCCACTCATAGTGACCCCTTCTTGGGTTTCTGAGGCAGTACCTCTATGAAAGTAGATTGCCCAACTTTCCTTCTGAAGAGTGGCTGGTAGGTCTGAACTGCCAGCCTTCTGGTTAGCAGTCAAATGACTTAGGCACTATGCTACCAGAGCTCCCTTTCTTTCCCTAAAAGATGTTTTTAATATGATGATATAGATGCTTTAGTAAAAAGTGGCCCATTGGCTAAAAAGTGGGATCCAGATACAGATTCTGTAGCCTCTTCTCTCTAGTCTGGAGCCAGGAGCTATCTCATTTGTAAGACACAGATTTCACGGAGGGACAGAGAGATTTTTGATCAAAGCATTTTAAGTTCCCTATAGTTTTCCCTGGGAGCTCTGGTAGCATAGTGGCTAAAGCACTTGACTGCTAACCAGAAGGCTGGGGGTTCAAACCCACCAGCCACTCCTCGGAAGGAAGGTTGGGCAATACTACTTCCGTAGTGATACTGCCTTGGAAACCCAAGGAGGGGTCGCTATGAGTCAGGGCCGACTCGACGGCACATAACAACAACAACATAGTTTTCCCTCTGAGATTATAAACCTCCGTGATTAATATTTTTCTCCATCCCACGGATTATCTCAAGACTTCTTTCTCAAAGAGCCTAATTTTTTCCTAAGTAATTCCTGCAGTCCAACACCACATGAGAATCCTTTAGGACCTGTGGATTGAAAGGAGTACTAGCTAAGAGACCCAAATTAGAGTAGACCGTTCTATGGGAAGCAGAATGATGGCTGGACTTGCACAGTGACTCTAAGGCCAATGGTATAATGATGTCCTTGGTTGAGTGTTAGCTAAATAACCAAGACCCTATTTGGACAATTGACCATTGGTCATGTTCTCCTTTTGACTAAACAAGAATCCAGATTAAAACCTGCATAATTCTCTTGGTCTCTAAAATTATGCTCTCAGTCATCTCATTCCACAATCTTGATTGAATATAAACACAAGTATTCCTCTCACTTGTACATTTTTATTGGTCCCTTATAACACTTACCTGAAGACCCCTTCCCTTTTTGCTTTTGTGTGGGAATCAACATCACCAGAGATTTGTCTTAATGTTCTCCTTGCAGCCCCACACTTTGACCTTGAGATTTCACATGCATTCCCCCTACCCTTTTCCTTTTACCAAGTCTGTGTCTGCTTTCTGGCTCTTTTTTCTATGTGGCTTCGCCTAGTCCTTAGTCTACCTTGTATCTTCCTGCCTCTATCTTTGAATGCAGTGAACTCAAAGGCTGGCCATTGACCCATTTGATCTCTAACTTCTGAATATAGAATAATGAGTTTTAATATCAAATACCCTCTGAAGGCACGTTTCACTTTAGCATATCTTTAACATTGTCTTGATCTTTGTATCTTTAATCTCTCCTCCCTCTAGTTATGTTAGATTTTCATTTTATCTCCCCTGCCCTTTGCTGCCATCAGAGAATTGTCTCAAAATTATCTAACAAACTAATTATCTTGAAAATTCTCTTGAAAAGTGAGATATTATCTTTTATCGCTGCTTTTTCTTCCAGTTTACCCAACAAAACTTTCTGAAGAAATAAATGGTCAGAAACACCCTTCTTAGTTTATTGACACTTACACCTGCTATGCAGCACTTTCCATTTGCACTTTAATCTGGACATGTTGACTTTGACCGTGAGTGGATAGTTAAAGTTGAGTCACAGTGTCCTTAGTATGAGAAAATGTCCTGCTAATATTTCAATCTGAGTCAACTATGTCCTCTAGAGACAAGATGTGTTTCCATACACAGAGCTGTCCAAATGCCCATGGGCTGTCACAAATGACTATGTGAAACCTCTTCAACTACAGTAAGCTGACTGAAAATTACAAGGTTTGTCACTAAAGAGGAAAAAATGCAATTGTGCTTTCAGGCTAGTTGTTCCAGCAGAGTCATCTCTCATATAACTTTTTAGCTAGAAATGCCTTGATTTTGTTATGGAAGATAATGATAGTGGTTATTATTTGTATCGTTTTATTAGCAATGCCTCTGAGCAGCCGGTAACTCTGATTTGTTTGACAGTTGACACGGCATGTTTAAATCACAGAAAAATTGGCATATTGGCTGGTAGATAATAATGCAGCTGTAACTGGGTTGGTTACATTGAATTTCACTGACATTGCTACTTATGAGAGGAGAAATAACTCTTTTTCCTCGCTTCATCACTTATGATTACAGGGCCTAGACAATTTAGGCAATATAGTCAGTGCTGAATATATTTTACTACTCTTCCTGAAAGATAAACTCCTGTCCTGCTGCATCTATTTCTACTGTTTAAAGGGAAATGCTATTTTGTGTCATAAATAGATGAGGATGGAGGTATGAGGATCTTCACAACTGGTGGAGACATTGATCAGCTCCACATATCTCTCTATAAAGTGATCCAAGGGGCCTTTAGGTGACTTAGGGAGAACAAGCTTTGACCTGCAATAATGAATGGCTTTTCTTCTCTCCACTGCAGCAGTGAGTGAAGGACCAACCACACAACAGCCACCTGTATTGCCTCCAACTCAACCTGAGCATCCCAGCAGTGAGGAGGCACCAAGCAGAACCATCCCCACGGCCTGCGTTCGACCAACTCATCCACTCCGCAGCTTTGCTAACCCTTTGCTACCTCCGCCAATGAGTGCAATAGAACCGAAAGTTCCTTACACACCGCTTTTGTCTCAGCCAGGTAACGTGCCCATTCATTCACATTTAAAGCTGGTGGCATCATTGGTACCTCTATATAAGTGCACGAAGCTTCTTGAGAATGCCAAGATGCAATGTCTTTTCAACATCAAATACATGCCCAATGTGCTCATATTTGTTTCTGATGCTTCTAGTACAGCTTTGAAGTATCTACCTTAAAAATGACTGACGGGGTGCAGATACCTCTCACTCCTTTGGGAAGGTGTCCATTCATCCTAGAGGACACTGCACACTTGGCCTGGGCAGAATGCAGTCTTCTCTGACACACAGGCTTAAGCACTATCATGGCTGTTCCACAAGATATAGCTTCCCTAACCCAACAGAAGGAGCTCTGGTAGCATAGTGGCTAAAGCACTTGACTGTTAACCAGAAGGCTGGCAGTTCAAACCCACCAGCCACTCCTCGGAAGGAAGGTTGGGCCATCCTACTTCCGTAGTGATACTGCCTTACAAACCCAAGGAGGGGTCGCTATGAGTCGGGGCCGACTCGACGGCACATAACAACAACAACAACAGCAACCCAACAGAAGCCCACCTTGGGATTTAAAGCCAGTCTGTATTCCCCAAGCCCCTGTCCACATCCCCTGCACATATACCATCCACATGCAGGACAGAGAGGAGCTACTACTTTATGTTGCCTTAAAACTCTGACATCATGATTAATTGGAGCAGAGAAAATTTGAAGCAAAATAGTTCTGTAGTGAAATTCCTATGTCAAGAGGATGCTACCTGGTAATTTCTGGCTGCTCTCTTTTCTCCGCTATAATAGCAGCCAAAGGAAAGGCCTTCATGGAGAGAGTAATTCAGGATAGGTGAACTACTAACAATAACTAGGAGCTCTGGTGGCATAGTGCCTAAGACATTTGACTGCTAACCAGAAGGCTGGCAATTCAAATCCACCAGCCACTCCTTGGAAGGAAGATGGGGCAATCTACTTCTGTAGAGATACTGCCTCAGAAACCCAAGGAGGGGTCATTATGAGTTGAATCGACTGGAGGGCAGTGAGTGAGAACAATAACTAGCCCTGATTGAACACTGTTAGATGGGCATTGTGTTGAAGGCTTATAACACCTCATTTGAGCCTTACAACCCTGTATGTACTGCTCTTATTCCCATTTTATGGAGAAGGACGTGGATTCACAGAGACTTCGAGTAACTTACCTAGGTCTATGGAGCCATTGGTGCTTCCATGGTAGAATTCTCACCTCCCATGTGGAAAGCCTGGGTTCAATACCTGGCCAGGGTACCTCGGGCACATCTGTCAGTGGAGCTTGCATGTTGCTGTGAGGCTGGACAGGTTTCAGCAGTTTCCAGACTAAGACAAACTAAGAAGCAAGGCCTGGCAATCTACTTCCCAGAACCAGCCAAAGAAAACCTTATGGATTGTAAGGGGTAGTGTTTTATTTCACTGTGCACTAGGTCACCGTGAGTCGGGGGCCAGCATGACAACAGCTAACAGCAGTTCAAGTCTACACATCTAGCCCATGATGCATCTTCCTCACCCTTTTTGATTTCAGAAGGCATAGGCTCTCAAAATTGAAGAGCTCATTTATACCTCTAAGTCTATGGCTAACTTAAAGACAAGGACAATTAAAAAAAAAAAAAAAAACCTGGTAAATGTTATTCTAAATTTGATAAAAGGAAAACATCTGAAATAATTCTGAGTTGAGCGCATACTTTTAATGAGGAAGGGTAAGAGGTTTAATTATTCTAGATTTATGAAGACCAATTTTATTACATCAAAAAACTAAAAAGCTACACCACTTTACACTGCTAACTGCTATCTCTTCTTGGAAGTAAAGATGTCTGTTTGATGCCTTATACAGAGACATAACACTGTATGTAATATAATAGAAATAATATTCTAAAGGTTATTTTAAATGAAAAAGTTGACTGTGCAGGTAAGTGATGTCTAGTTGAGGAGATGAGATTTGGAACTGAACCTCAGACTTTGGAGCATTATGATAACAAAATGACCAAAACCCCCTGAATTTTCTTGAGAACATTTCACAATTGATGGGAGGAGAGAAATGGAATGGTTGTTTGCTTATTGTTGTTTTCTCCTAGTTGCAATAATACTGATGCTTGCTTAAGTAAAATCTGGTACAGCGTAGCACAAATGTGTGGGCTATGCCGTTAAAAAAGGGCAAATAGAACCTATGGTAGTGTCTCCACTGCTATTGCATCAAATAATAAGCCACTCTGAGAGACCTTTCTCTGACCCTTCTCTGATCCATGATGCTCTGGTGGCAGATTGCCTAAGACATTTGACTGCTAACCAGAAGCCTGGTGGTTCAAACCCACCAGCCACTCCTTGGAAGGAAGATTGGGCAATGTACTTCCATAGTGATACCACCTCAAAAGCCCAAGGAGTTGGAGTTGGATCCAATGGCTGTGAGTTTGGTTGTTTTTGTTTTTTTTTTTTTCTCTGACCTACGGCCCCAGAGATAAGGTCTTGTTTTCTTTTATTTCCAACATACCCTTTTGATCCTTTCTTTGTTTCATTATTATTCTGTGGTTATCAGAACTACTTCTTACAGCCATTTCCTCTTCCAGTTTTTCCATTCTATGTGGTTTCAGTGTTTGGTTTGATTCTCTGTTTTTTGTATGTCCCCCCTTACATGGCACCCACCCCACTCAACCTGAGACACACCCACCATCACTTTGGAATGATTAAACGTCTCTCCCCTTCATGCTGTTTCTTCATTGTTTCCCTGTGATTCTTGTTCACTTCATAATGTCTTACCTCATGATTTTCAAATAAGTTCTCCCCGTATTGCTCCTGACACATGGTAAATAGAATGCTTTTAAGAAAGGGCTGATGTTTACTTATTCTAATAGAAAAAGAAAATTAGCAGACTGACAAGTGTATTAGCTGTGACATTAACTACATGCTTCTTAGCCTAAAAGATGAAATACTTAGAGCTTTCAACAAATTTTAATTCTAAGAAAATCATTGCTTTAGTCAAACTGATTGATGAAGTAAAGTCATTCTCTTGTCGACTTAAAAAAAAAAATACCTCAAATAATTTTACTCTGTATTTCACAGTAAAGGACTGTGTAATTAGTAATGAATTTATCTTTACTTACTGTAAGTAATTACTTCAGAATATGGTAATGGGAGGCATTGCTCTAATTTTTAAAGATCTTGCCAAGTGTGGCGTTCCTTGTGCTTTGAAAGCTTTGAAATTAGACATCAGTAAAGAAGTTCTTTTGCTATTCAAATTCCTGTGTGTGATTTTTCATGGTAGACAGCATCATTGCCCTGTGCTTCTCTTTCCTCCCCAATAAAGCCTGTAGCACTGTGCTTGCTTAGGTTTTATATGGGATAGTGGCTAAAGCACTTGACTGCTAACCAGAAGGCTGGCGGTTCAAACCCACCAGTCACTCCTCGGAAGGAAGGTTGGGCAATCCTACTTCCGTAGTGATACTGCCTCGGAAACCCAAGGAGGGGTCGCTATGAGTCGGGGCCGACTTGACGGCACATAACAACAACAACAACAGGACAACAGAATGGAGACAATGGTAATTGAAACGTAGAATTCTCACTTTCCATGCAGGAGACCCAGGTTTGATTCCCAGCCAATGCACCTCATGTTAACACTCATCTGTCCATGTTACTAAACATGTTTCAGCAGAGTTTCTAGACTAAAAGAGACTAGGGAGAAGGGCCTGATGATGTACTTCCAAAAACTGTCTCCTGAAAACCCGGTAGGTCACAGTGGTCCAATCCATATTAATTGCTCTGCTGCTAACCAAATATATGGGATATGTATATCCCATATATACATAGGGATGTCACAGGACTGGGCAGAATGTCTTTCTCCTGAGCATGGAAACACCATGGCTGAGGGCCCAACTCAATGGCAGCTCATGACAATAACAAGGGCAGCACATATTATGCAATAACAATCTCCACTGGGTGGCAGAGCATTTTGTAGTATTTCTATAAGAAGTGGTCATTAGAAAGTCATTCTGCTGTCCTAAGGACTGAAATTCTGCCCATCTGAACACACAGGTCTTTTTCTTCCTTTTCATTTTTTCTTCCACTTGCTGAGGTAGAAATCTCACTTACCAGGCTCTAGGGTATTTTGGAATGTTTCTTACAATGTCATCATCACCCCGTGATAAAGTGATTCCCTTTCTTAATGCTTGATCTATAGATGTGAGGAACTGGGTGGTCCTTACACATTTTGTGAAGGCAAGGCTGCAGTCACTGCACTTTGCAAATCACACATGTGGACATGTAAGTGATTTGGCTTAGTCCCCTTTCAAGTTAAATAGAAAATGTTTAATGGAGTGTTGGGTGCATTGCATTATAGATCTGACATAAATTCTCTGACATAAATCCTACAAAGGGCCAAGATAGAGTTGTTGGGTATTTTTTTTTGTTTTTGTTTTTTTCTACCTTCACCAGTGAAAATTCCTTTTAGCTGTTGAAATGATCAGCTGCACTTTAAATGAACCTGGATTAGTAGACCATTTGTCTTTTGTGGCTGTTAATTCCAAAGGGAAAGAAAATGTGACCTCTTAACTAGCGACTTTTCTATCGTGGCACAGCTTTATAATATTAGCCCCTGCAGCTCTTGCATCTCCGTAAAGCTGCATAAGTGGGCTCTTGTCCTCCATTCACACAATATATTTCTGTGCGTACACATTTATAAAAGCAAAAACTCAGAGCATTCTGATCTTTTCAATCTTCAAGGGATCAATATGTCAGTGGACATGACAAGACCAAAACTCACTTCATTGTACTCCGAAATTGAGTTTGATTTTCCCCCTGCAAATTGTGGCATGTGCTTCAATTTGTCTGAAGACCGAGGACAAGGAGAATGTGGAGGTGGCTGACAGTGGACAGAAAAGGCGTTTGATTTATATTTAATAGCTAGTTGGGAAATCATGTATTCCTGCTGTAACCTGATCTTTTTTGGCAGGCCTTATTTCAGTAAATATGCTATCACACAAAACTGCCAATAAATTACAA